AGGAAGCTAAAGTTATAATGTGATTACATCTCATCCTAAAAAGGGAATGCAATTGTTATTTTTATTGAAATCGCTTCAGAACCGGAACATGGATTGTCTTAAAAGAAAACTAAGACCTAAGCTTTCTTACAAACCAACTGTGCACCTAAAACTTCCTATTGGTAATTAATTTAATGTATGCCCGCGGCTCCAAATCCGCTCCCCAATCAATTTCGGCATTAATTGCCCTGCAATCGGAATTCCGTCCCTGCGTCATGCGTCGCTGCTGGCGTCGCAGTCAGCGTCGGCTGAGCGGCCATTGAATGCTGCCAAAAATACGCAATACACGCACTCTCACACACACATGCGTGCATGCACATAGGCGTTGCATTGGTGTGCGGCAGAGGCAAAGACAACAGCAAAAGCAAAAGCTTTGTTGGGCAGCAGCATAAAAGCAGCGACGCCGGCGGCGCAGTCGGCACTCCACGTGTTTCTTGAATTGCGTAAATTTTTCGGTGGCCCCCTCACCACCTCCCACCCGCCTTAACCACCCAGCAAGCTTTAATTGTCATTGTGTTGTGTGTGCATAAAATGGCAGCAGCAGCAGCCGCTCTCCTGGAGAGAGAGCGTGGGAGAGCGAGAGAGAACGACATGCGCTCTCCATTTCTTAAGATTTTTTGCGATGGGAGGGGAAGTTCTGCCGCAAAAAGCTTAGCACTCTCTCTCTCCCTCTCTTTTTCTCACTGCAAAACAAATGCGCATTGTTATTGTTTTTGGCATTGCTGCACTGCAAAAAAATTGTATGTACCATGATTATTTTTTAATAATAGTTTTGTTTTTCATTAAACTTTAAAACTGTAATGGAACTTCAACTTTGGGAACTTTCAAAATCATTTAAAAATATATGATTGTGCAATGTAACCTTATCGCGGAGTTTTACTAATTTCCATTAAAATGTTTGATTTTTTCTGTGTGGCTTTCCAATTTTTGCTTTGTCTTTGTTGGTATTTTACTATTCCTGCCGGCAGTTCAGAATCAACTTTTAATTAATCAAAAGAATAGTTTTTCAACTCTTATTTCCATTGAATTTGAAGTACAATTGTTTCGATTGTCTAGGAATTTGATATTTTTGATGGGAAATGCATTCAAAAATGGGATAGTGACACTTGTGGGAATAAGGGAAGTTTTTTTTGGGTGAAAATAGTCCAGTATTTTAAGGGGTTTTGTTGGGATTTCAATTGTTTGTACATGGGATATGCAAATTATTTTTATTGAAAATTAAAAATGAATTGTACTGTGATTGGGCTTTTTTTTACGAATATTTCTGTATAATTACTGCATATCGAATTCCCATCTTAACTCAATCAATCGTGTGTTTATGCCGGTCTTAAAGTGGTCTTTCTATTATGCGCTAATCGCCTCATGCAAACCCCACTGCTATTGCATCTAGTATTTAGGGACCACCTGGGTGGAAATGCCCCGCTGTTCGAATAGGTTAAGACCAAGTTTAGGTTTGCTTTTGCTATTTCTGGGCGAGATTTCCCTAAACATTTTCCACTTGAGCGGAGCTCCTCCAAATTACCTCATGTCCTTTGCCTTATGCAATTGCGCCTGCAAAAGAGAGCGGCAGCGAGAGAGAGAGAGGTGAAAGGGTGAGAGAAACTCACCCCCGGATTATAAGGATATATGTAATTTTTATCCTGGGGCGGCAGTGCATACACACAGAAAAAGACATGCAAAAAAGGCATTGCAACGGGTATTATCCTTCTAAAACCAAGTGAATATTAAACAAAATAATTGTTAAAAATAATCTATATAATTTCTAAACATTTTCTTTCATTTCTTAAAAAACCACATCTCCAATTTGACAATTGCAAGTTGCATTCCAATTGGATTAATATCGTAAAAGGAGCGGGAATCGCAAGTGGTTTTCCCTCTCTTGAAGAGCGAAAGAGCGGCGCTCTCTCTCTCTCTCTATCCCCCACACCAGTGCAAAACGTTTGCATTTGCAATGGGGCAAAGCAAAGCAAAAACAAAAGCACACACAGACAAGCTTACTTTTATGCGGCGGGGGCGACGGCGAACCAATGCAAAATGGGCGCACTCTCAGCGGCATCGAAAAACAAAAAAAAAACCACGAAGTCTCCGCTCGCATTTCTCCCTTCGCAACGCGAGATTCAATTCAAAAAAGCAAAAGCACGCAGCCGAAACTTGTTTGGCCCGCTGCTGCCAGCGACTGCGACTGCGACGCCAGCACAGTGGGCCTGAAACGTAAAAAAAATGAAATTAAGCTTATTTTGCAGTTATACCAGACAACTTGCAAAATCTCTTTATTAAAAGGCCTATAAACTAAGATTGTTGAACCAAATATTGTAGGGGTAAAATTAACCAATACGTATAGTTACTTATCTGTAAAAAAAAAGGTTAACAGCTGTCCAAATACAGATGTGTATTTTTTTTAATAGTAAAACTATCCTAAAATAGTATGTTGGGTGTATTTTGCTGTTAAGAGAATAACTATTTCATTGGTCAAATTGACATTTGATGGTTTAATTTCACCGAATAGTTTTTTGTATGTTTTAGTTCTGTCGGTATTTTTGTTGGTACAGGTTAAGATAGGTAGGTATGGTTGGAGATTTGAAAACTATTGGGCCCCTTGTGATACCATGTAATCTCTGTGCAGGTTTTTTTCCCTAGCTCATGGGTTATTGGGTTTATCGGTCTGGTATAGGAAGTATAACACTTTTAATAAACATTTTACGAAAATTTTTTTTGTAAATTCAAAAAGCTTATTACATTTTAAAATGGAACATGTGTAAGTTTAAAACCTAATGATGCTACTTAAAAAAAAATTTAAACTAGTATCAAATAGGTCGTTTTTCAAGCTTTCTTTCTACACAAGTATTTATATATAATTTGTAATATTCTTGTTAGAACAACAGTGGCATTCACGTTTTGCCCCACAGTGCAGAGCTGCGCTTTGCTGCGTTTTTACGCTCGCTCTCTTTTCGCTCGCCGACTGTTGCTTTGCTTTTGCCCCTGCTTGCATGTATTGGTGGTGGCTCCACACTCTCTGCCGCAGCCGCTGCCGCAGTCGGCGTCGCTGCCCGCCGGCTGATAGGCCATAAACGAAATTTTGGAACACAACGCTCGTCTATTCGGCCCTAGGTTTCGGTGGTGCTCGCAGCTCGTTTTGCGTTTTGCAGCAGCGTTTTGTGTGCATTTCGCATTCGCATATTCGCATTCTCGTGCAGCATAAATTACAGATATTACAGAACAGCCCAGGAAACTACAGAAAAAAAACTTAAATTTTTAACAATTTAAATACGAAAAACCACAAGAAAACGAAGCCGCTTGAAAACAAAACGAAAAAAAAACAAAAACAGTAATTCTCAATAATATATTTTCATATTCGAAGAACTGCAGCGGATGAAGTGCGAAAAAAAAGGCGGAAAAGTGCAAAAAGTTTGCGGCATTGAAAACTTTTTTAATTATTATTTACGTTTTGTTTGTGTTTCGTCGAGCAAATGCACAAAAAATAACTGTCCAAAGTGCATGTGTGTGTGTGTGTTAGTGCGTCGTGAGTGTTGCAAAACGATTTTTCGACCATTGATTGGAAGGTAATTTTGAGTGAAATAAATAAAATTAATCAAATATTGCAATATTTCTACCAACACTCTAACAATTGTGCGTGTGTACTTGATTTTCAAACACACACTCGAATTCAGGGTGTGTGTGTGTGAGTTTGCAACTCGAATTTCGAAAAAACAAAAATCAAAAGCAAACTGGGAAAAAGTGAAGTAAAAACTTTTATGCATAACGAATACGTCTGCATTTTTAATCAAGCAACAACAATAGAAAAAATATAAGCAAAAGCAATAGCAACAACAACAACAAGGAAAACATCGAACAATAAACAACCCTCCCCGTTTTCCGCCTCCCCCTGAAAATAAACAAGGCGCAATCCCAGTGAACTGAACCCCTTTTTTGCACTGTGTGTTTATGTATGTGTGTGTGTGTGTGCGAGTGTGTAAAGGAGACAGAGCAATTAAGGGAGAATGGAGGAAAGTGCAAGAAGTGCAAGGAAAAAAGAAAAATGCAATTAATCCCCAAGGCACTTGTCCTGGAAAATGTGTTGAGGAACTATAAACTATCCATGCAAGTGTTGGAAAACTCCTAAAATCTCTATAAAAGTGTGAAAACGGTTTTAAAAATATAATGAAGAATAAATAAATCGTTGCAATAAAAATCTCAAAACCAAAACAGAAATTCCCACATATTAGAAATAAAGACCTTATCTTCAAATATCAAAGTTTCTTCACCGGCTTGTGCACGCACTTCCCCCATGTCCCAAAATACCCAATTCCCAACGCCAAATAAAGTGTTTTTGGGTAGCCTGTGACATAAAAGACATTTGCCAGAAGCCAAGTGGGAATTAAAATCCGAAAACGAGAAAATGAAGTATATGTTGCGATAATAAAACCATTTATCCCAATTCACTTAACGAGTCGCACTGATAAGAAAAAAATATGTCACGGGCATAAACATTTAGGGAAATCTTCGAAATTCTAACTGAATTACAAAGTAAAACAAATTTCTTTAGAATTGTGACAAATAGGTCTTTTTTATCAAGTCAGAATGTATGCCTTTTTTGTTTTTAGTACGGAGGTTTTAAAATAAATAGCCTAAAAAACCACGAATATATTTTACTTTCTTTACCTTCGCACACTTCCAAATGCCACTCACATTTTCTAATAACGATTTTCCACCTGCTTTTATACTTGCAGCCAAATGTCACTGTGAAAATGTCTCAACGAGCCAATTTTAGCAACATCGAGACAAACATTCAACGACCACAACAATTCCGGCAAAGGCAACAAAATGCGAGTCAAGCAACAAATTTTGAACATTTAACTATCTAAATAATATAAAAAATATCAATTAAATTGAAAATAATTTCGCAAAATTAAAAAAACTCAATTTAAAAATGAACTGAAACAAAAACTTTTTCGAAAAACAACGCAAAATTTAAAAATTGGCAACAAAACTTTTTGGTCTTAAATCAAATTCAAAATAAAATAAATCAACAAAAAAAGCGATTTTTGGCAAAGCTGCGTACAACAACAACAACATCAAATAATATACAACAACTTTAAATTATCTCAAAACGTCCACACGTGAAAATGTTTTGCAACTAAGATGAAAATCTAAATCAATGTAAATTTAAAAATCAACAAAAGTAAAACCAAAACCGTCAGCAAAAAAAAAACCAGCCCAAAGTCAGTTGAAAAACCGAGGGAAATCTTTTTAGAACAAACGCAAGAAACAGCAAAAATTTAAGCCACCAAATTGGTAAACTCTTCAAAATTATTGGTTCGGACATACGCAATACTAAACACAGCAACACAACAACAACAACAACAGCAGCCATAGCAACTACTACAGTGATCACTACAGTAAAAGCAACAGCAGATAAAACGTGTGTGTTAGTTTGCATAAAAATTTCGTTTCGATAAAAAAGCAACGCAAAAATATTTAACAAAAAGTAATCGTAATACATGTATTTATAAAATATATATATATATATACCTATACATATATCTATGCTTACAAATTATATCGGAGAATATTTGGTAAACAATTTTTGATAAAAACAAATCGAGTAAAATACTAAATAATTAGCAACAAAACTGAAAATCAAATAAAAAAAACTAAAACGTTTTGGACGAAGTGCAAAAAGTGCAAGTGAGATAAAATAATACAAAAAAAAAACTTATAAATTCAAAATTACCACTTGTGAAAAGGTTTACAACTGAAGATTCTGGATTTGGATTAATGCGAAAATTTGCAATTGAATATTAAGGTAAGTTTGAATATGTTCCTAAATAAGTATCTTTCATTTTTAAATTAATAAAATGATACAAAGGAAGTACAAAATTGTTTAAAAATTTTTTTTGGTAGACTTATGGATCCATGTTTCAAATTCCCCATATTTTGTTTAATATGTAGCCAATTTCATTAGTTATTTTTTTCAATGACTCTTCAAAGTTTCCCCACGCACGAAAAAGTGCGTAAAGATGAAAAATGTTGTTTTAGAAAGTGTCCACAAACATTTGCAAACAATTACAGCTCGGGAAAAAAATAAACTCCGCCTCTAATTACAATTATAATTTATGCAAAAAAGAAGGAAAACATTTTTTTGGTCAAGAGAAATAATTGTCTACGCACTTTGCGTATGATTTATGACACTCAAAACTTGGAGTTGCATATTAATAGCGAGAAAAAAAGCAAAAGTTGCTTACTTGACATTTCTACATGTGTATAGATACATACATACAAACACACTCGCATATCAAAAGGGGTGTAGATACTTTTTTTGGGGTTGTGCATAAATTAAAAATATATTATTTCTGCTTCTTGCCGCTGCACACAAAAAAAAAATGCGTCGCAGTTGGCACGCAATATATATGTATATACTTTTTTTTTGACTGCGCTGCCGGCGCCGCTGCCACTTTGACCTACTTAGCAAACGCAGCGTGTTCCAAATTTTGTGCGTTGTGTACTTTTTTGTACCGCTCGTCCCATCTCGCTCTCGCCATTGCCCCCTCTCACTCGCACTCGTTGAACTTGGTCAGGCATTGCGTGCGCTTGAAATTGTAGTTTAAGTTGCTCTGGGGGTCTTCCGCATTTAATTAAATGCACAACAATTTTTCTTTCTCTATTTTTTGTCTTAAGGTTCTACACGGAAAATAATATTTTATAGATATTTTGCGTGGTCTATTTTATATGGTTATACTTTTATGGATCTAGAAAGAACATAAAAAGTAACTTGTGCGCTTAGTTGGCTTAGAATCTGAAGTATCTTTAATTTTTAGATTAACAAATTTGAATTTTTAAATAAGGGAACAACTTAACAACATTAGATATTTCATTTTTTTTTTAGATATTTTACAGAAAAACCGAAAAGATACAAATTTTTCTGATCTAGATACTTTTGTAAAAAGCCAAAGAATATAATAGTATCTGATAGATACTTTATCTGTTCTAGATACTTTCGTAAAAAGCCAAAGAATATAATAGTATCTGATAGATACTTTATCTGTTCTAGATACTTTCGTAAAAAGCCAAAGAATATAAAAGTATCTGATAGATACTTTACAAAATGTTGAAGAAAATTAAAAGAAAAAATGGTTTGTATTGCATACATTTTTAAGATCTTCATAAAAATCAAAAACTTATACTTTAAAAATGATTTAGTATACAATTTTTAATAAAACTTATGTACTATAAAAATCACAAAATATTTTTAAACACTAAATCCATAGATCGAACATACTGTAAGAAGTATAATTAATAATCAATGTTGAATTTTATATTTCTTTAGTAAATACAATTTTTTTAACTGTGTCTCAACATTTTGTTTTAGTTTTCGTCTGCTGCATTTTCCGTTGTCGGAAGTGCTCTTTCCCCTTTTCTTTGCCTTCTCACGTGCATTTGCACAATCGTTAGGTTTTTTTCTAAGAATAACTTGTCTTTGGAGCAGACTGCGCGGCTTCTCCCCTTTTCTTCTTCTTTTTAGCCGTGTTGTAACTGACGCAATGCAACCGACTTCATTATTTTCTTTTTTTATTTGCTGTTGTTGTCGGCACTTGCGCAAAGTGTCTATGATATGCTCTAAACCCCCGCAATAACCCCTCAAATTTCCACCAAGACGAACGCATTTCGGTTCTCTGTGTCTCAAATAGTTTACATTTTATGACTTGCCACTGCAGTTGCTTGAATTTTAATGCGACCGATTACCAAGAAAGCGAAACAGAGCAACCGCGTTGCAAGAAATTGTCAGTTGTCTGATTGTTATAACAGTTGTTTTTCGAGGGGTTCCGAAAAAACGGGAGAAGGCAGTCAATTAAGATGTCCAAAATGCATTTTGTATCTTTTATAGAAGCAGAAATGCAAGTTAATCACGCAAAATCGTTCATGATTCTTGAAAAAAAATGATTAAAAAGAAAGTATTTAAGGATAGGTATAACATTTAACTATTTTTATAATACCCATATGTTAAACATAATACAAAAACCAAATTAGGAATGGGATACCTTATCAGTAAAATTAAAAATTGTCAATAAAAACAGTTTGTCCTATCACATTTTTAAGTTATAGACCTCAATTTAGAGGAATCCTATTTTATTATAAGCTAATTATTATTGCTGAGCTCAAAATCTCTTTTTTACTATAGTAACTACTATAGTAGTACTTTTATTATATTTTATGAATCCTAAGTTCAAGACACGCACTTGCTTTTCAAGGACTGCCAAAAACTAACAAAGCTTCAGAAAAACTAAAAAAAAACTTGCACGAGACTTGACCATAAAATTTCATATGAAATAATCGCTTTTACGAACTGCTAATTAGGCTTATCAAGAAAAGTGAGCTATGTGTTTCTTGGCTGCAAAGTGCGGTAGAAGGTAGGGCTGTAAACTGTCTAAAGGGGCGTGGCGGTCTGGAAACCCGTCAGTGTCACTCAATGTTGCCAATGTTGACTATTCATGAAGGGGAAGAGATAGAAAGAGAGAGAGAGTATAGGCCTATCTGAAAAAGGAATAAGATAGTGGGAAAGCATACTTTTTTTCCGGGAACTACAGTAGCGGTTAAAAAACTTGTTTTTACCAAAGAAAAAGTATTACAAATTGTTAATTCACTTGTCAACTAAGACTGTATCTTAAAGCATAATGTATCTACACTTCCATTACTTACTTTCCAAGATGGAAAAAAATTGGGAATATTTACATATGTATATGTTTGTAAAAGAAAACTATTACGGATAATGAATTCATCATAAACTAAATAAAATTATATTTTATAAATATATTTCTATAAAAAAAATATTAACAGATAAAATTAAAGATAGGAATGAATTAATTATGATTAGGCAACCAGTGTTGGATAATCCTTGTGTAGGTCACCCCGAAAATATGCTAATGCCTAGTGTTGTGAAACTAATATTTTGCTCGCTGCTGTATGTGCAATGTTTATTGGGGTTTGGCAAACTCGATTCGTATTTTTTCTACCGTTTTTCGCTGGTTTTGTGAGGTTTTTTCTGGCCATTCCCCAGTTGCTAATTGCCAGTTGCCTTTTGCTCCACTTCGCCACACGCACACACACGCAATAAAAAACGAAACTTTTGCATGCAAGCAACGCCTTTGTGTGGGTGTTATCTGCAATTGTGTGCGTGTGTATCTGTGTGGGTGAATATGGCCGCCGCAATAGTTTGCACAAATAGAAAACGCATTTCTCTCTCTCTCTCTCTATTTCCATCTTTTTTTTTGAGCTTTGCTTTATCTGCATTGAACAGTTGGAATGTGTTAAGTTTCATTGCCATTTTTTTAAAGTGGGTGTGTGGTAGTTTTATATGTATATGTATTTGCATATGTATCTATGTATTTATGTATCTTAGGGGCTAGAGGATTTTGATTGAAAATGCAATATTGCAAGCAGGGCTTACTATAAGTTTAGTTTGTCTAAAGATCTTTTTTTATAAATTTCATCTAATCTAAAATATTTAGCTAAAAATATACATATAACATAAAAACACCAAAGTGTTTCATGAATGTTTCTTGGAATTTATAAAAACAGTAAGAAACCCAGATTCTTAGAAATTATATGTAAATAGAATTTCTGAAGTTTAAATAATCTGTTGGATCTAGTAAAAATTCCATATAAAAAATGAATCATAAAAATGAAATAAAATTGCAGGCAGACGAAAAACAAAAAATGTCAATTTCAAAGCCATTACATCACAATCCAGAACCAAATGCTGATAATTCTCAAAAAGCGAACCACACACACACACAGATACAAGCAAAGGGCGCAACAAATAAATAAAAAACAAATTTTTGACAAAAAGATACAACAAAAAAAGCACTGGCGAATGGAAGTTTGTACTATGTACAATAGCAAACAAAGAAATAAACACATAGGCCTATGTTCATACATACACACACACTTGTCATTCCATGTAGGAGTGCCATTTCCATCTCTTTTCCCCCCTTGCTAACCATCTCTTTCTATCCCTTTGGCGAACGCAACGCAAAAAAATTCACAAGTCGCATCCAAATACAAAAAAAAAATTCCAAAAAAAAAGAAAAAACAGAAAAAATATGGCGTGGCCTACAATTAAATTGGCTCAAAGTGCGTAAGGGGCAGCCTGCACAGCAAAAAAAATAAAACTAGGAAAAAAAAGCGAAATAAAACGGCAGCAGCGATAGAAAAAACCTTGAGCTGGCACAACATAATTAAAAATGTGCGTATACGCACACAATAATAGGCCCCAACACATCCAAACTTTTGCAGTTCGTAGAGCTTTTCCCGCTTCACAAATGACATTCACGCGCAATAAATATCAGACTATACTACTATACTATGCCAGCCAGTCCAAAAAACCGAAAAAAAACCATGAAATCAAAAAAGCTCCACTGCAAATCCAACAACAAAACGAGGAAGTCTAAAAATGGTGTTAGCTATAGCAACAAAAAACCCTATAGTTTCTAGGCCTATGGGAGTGAGGGAGATGGGCATAGTTTTGGGGCTTTGGGCACGCACTTTTTGAAGCTTTTTTCTAGGCGCCACGCATTTCAAGGCAGAAGCTTTTCAATGCGATGATCATCAGTTCAAGATACAGATAGATTGGGGATCGAGGGAATAATTAGTTAGAACTGTATTCTTTATGGAGTATTACTATTGAAATTTGGTATAGTGCCATCAATATTGTTATGCAACCATGATCAGTGATTGGGGTGATCAGTTTTGTAAATGGTTTGATCAAAACGGAATATTCTTCCAAGAGTAAAAAATAGGAAACAAAAA